ACTTCTTCCTCAATGGCCAGCTGAGGGCTAGTGGAGTCTACCTGGCGCTCCTAACAGAACACCATGGGATTGGTCAGGAACGGTTGGCATGGGTACCTTCAGTTCAGGAAGGAATGATATGTTTATTTGGTAACTACAACTTGTCCACTATTCAAGCTAGAAACACGTTTCGAGAAGTATGACCGTTTCTTTTCAAAGCTTAAGTAAGAGTTTTTCTGAGCACATCGTAAAATTACAGAAACCCACGAAAAGTTCCAACGAACTAATCCAATGTATAGACCGAGACACTTAATTATAAAATAGTGAGATCAACAAGTGGTATAATCGAATGCTGTTAGCATCCAGTTCGGGCCTCTCAGAAAGATATCATTTGTGGTAGAAATGTTTTCCAGCGACATCTCCCAAGTTTTCCCTCAGTGTTCTTTATACGTGTCTCCAGTTCTGCGGCTCAACTCTGCCCAAGAATAAAACTAATATATTTTTAACAAACTGTTGTCCTGAAACTATCGGCACAAATAATTTTAAAACTATTATGGTGTTTAGTGTAGCTGCAATTTCCCTGATAAAACTATGAATAAGCGGAGAAATCAATAGAAGTTCACGTAAACCCATACTTTTAAACTACCAACACGAAACCAAAGTCATGAAAATGTCGGTTTACGTAAACCCACACTTAAAGCCAGCGAAACGAGATTAAAGTTATGAGAACTTTGTTTTACGGTAGAAAATGTCGATAATAGGAGGGTTTTCTTTGTTGTTAGATAATTAGATATTTGTGCTTTGCCTCCACCCCTCCTGGTATCAAAACCTGATTTTAGCATTATAATCCCTCAGACTTCCGCTATCAGGGTGCCAGCAACGGTACTGAACTGATGAAACAATGCATTCTGATCATTATAAGCAAAATTATTTAACATTATACTGTTACGTCTCTGTGTTAGTTTGTTAATTTTCCGTAGAAATTCTTTCCAAAGAAACTTCTACAATACAAGTCCTTTCTTAAATAAAACTAGTTTATTCTTTCTCAATTCAACTTTGCAATACACTTAATTTCCACAGTCACTTTAACTTAAACACACGCTAGAATTCACAACGATTCACGCACTTTACTTACGGCTTGACTCGATTATCTGTCTCTATATCTCTCTGTCTGCAATTCAATTGTTGCCGTCACTTTATTTGCCGGCTTATATATATATTATAAAAATGCGCGTCCAGCAAACGCTAGGACGTTCAACAGGTTCCTCGATCTTTCTAGAACTCCAGCGCATGCTCCCAGCGTCGTGCGACTTCCGCTGTCGTAACAATACTGAATAAAGACTCGCAGTAGTGATTCGCGTGGCGAAGGAAAAAGTAAGCACCCGCACCCCAAAACATGCAGTCACTATCGAGAGTATTTTTACACGAGATGATTGTGTACAGAATCGACCCCTCTGAAACTCACCCATTGTAGCAGTTATAGTTTAGGCATTAGAGAGTGTAAACCATCAAGATATTAGTAGTTAATAAGTAAAAAATAAAACGAATCCTTAGAAGAATTGCCGAGATATAGCCTAGCCGTATCTGACCTTATTGTTCGTTTTCTTCTTCTTCTTCTTTTTTTCGTTTTCGCACAATCCATTTGTTTTTATGGCGCACGTGTTTCATTTTTAAACTTCAGCCATCATCTTAATCTTTGTCCGATAGCTTTTGTTTGTTTGTTTGTAATTAAGCACAAAGCTACATAATGGGCTAGCGGTGCTCTGCCCACCACGACTATCGAAACCCGAATTCTAGCGTTGTACATTCGCAGACATACTGCTGTGCCACTGGGGGGCTTGTCTGATAACTTAGAAATCAATATCACTACTTCCTTCATGTCCACTCTACTAGCAATAGTGCTTGTGGCTCGAAATAATAAGGGCCGGTTTTATGAAAAACAATATCTACAGTTTATTTTTCCTTTAAACTTTACTTGTCATTTGGCCGATTTTGTGTATGACATTGAACTCAAAATAACTACTGCTCTCACTTCATTCATATATCCCTGCTGGCTTTTCTGCCAGGCTTATATACTAACGAAGGGGGCACCTCGAACACACTCGGACTTCCCCGATCATTTGAGAAACTCATCACGCAAGCAACCAGCGCTAAACGCGCCAGAAGCGTCACGTGACTTCCGCTGTCGTAACATTGCCTCTTCCTTAGTATTGTTCGTCCCGAACCATAGCCACGTACATAAAACCAATAGATAATTAACAATAACTTAATTAAATGTACAGAATTTACAAACACAAAATTAAAATACAACAAAGTATCTTAATTTTACAAGAGGTTTCTTCTTTCATACTGGTCTCTGTCTCATTTGCTTCTGCTTCACATGGGATTCATCTGCTCCATCAGCAAATGTCCCATCATCGGTAGCAGTCCCATTAGTGGTAGTAACTTCATTAACGGCTTCACTGTTTTCCCTCTCAAAACCAGGTAGAGATTCTTCTTCAACAGTGTCTTTTTAAAGTGACACATCTTCATCAGCATCTTTTGTTCTGTTCTTCATTTCATTCCAACTGAAATGTCCTGGGCCATGATAACGCCAAAGCCTGTTGGCATACACCACCTTTGGCTTGCCTCGCCGACCACATTTTATTCGGAAAGTCACGTCATATCGGCCTTCCCATGGAGAAGACAACTTAGGAGACTTCCCTTTGGTCTTCCTGGGATTATAC